GGAGCAGCAGTCGCCAACCGGTGGTCTGCAGACTACTGGTGGTCTGTGAGGTCCAAAAGGTTGGCGACCGCTGCTTTAGACCAAGAATTTGAGTTGTCCTCTCCCTTTTAAGCTCATGAGGGACAGGATACTCAGATCTCAAGGTTTAGGATGGTTCAGGTCCTGCAGTTCCTTCTTGCCTTTGTGTTGTCTTTTTCTGGCTTTTGGAGAGACTGGACATCAGGTAAAATATATTTCTTTGAGTTAAATACAATCTGAATTCTTAATAGGTGACTTACAAATCATTTTGTGGAATATGTTTTCTTGATTTGGGAATTACCTGTGCTGAATTGCTTTTTAATAATGGATCTCCAAAAGCTCTACTGATCTAATTTATGGGTGCATATTAAATATACTTTCAGAGAAACTAGCCACCCAATTACTGAGATAAATAAGCAGTCCAGAGGTAACAGATAAGAAACTTTACCCAGTATTGTGCTTGGTAGCAAGCCCAAGGCATTCTAGGTCTGTTTCCTTTATGCTACTGCTGCCATATTCTTTTTTTCCTCATTATTTTTTACTTTGCCCAAAGCACTGAGAAATAGTTTTATATATATTTGCTCTAACAGTTCCTGGGCTTATGTACAGTGGGGTCAGAAAGGCAAGTTAGCCTAGCAGAAGACAATGAAGTCTGGTGGCTTGAACTTCCAGTAAAAGAGAAGCATTGGTCTTGAGATAGTTAAATAGAGAGAGATATGAATAAAAATATATGCTAATGATACTATTCTATATTATCCCACTTTTTGTTTTCATTTGTGTTGCCTCAGAGTTTTTTTCTTTCTTTCAAGAACCATCTACAACTTGCATGATATTTGAACCAGAGAGTATGACAAGAGTTCTTTATATCACCTTTCTTATCTTATGGAGGTATCCTATATAATAAAAGCCTAATACGCAAATTGTCCCCTTGGGTGGGCAGGCGGGCGGTTGACCGGAAGTTCTATCAGGAGACTGGGAGTTTGACCGGTCACTATGACATGTGCTGAGTACCAGGGGGCGGTGAGGAACATGGCAGGCATTGGCGACGCAACACGGGTGTCAGTGGAGGCACTGCCGGCCCCAATGGTGGAGCAGGTGAGCGGGCGGTGCCAGGACAAGGTGGGTGCAGGCGGATCACCCCGCAGACAGTGACCACAACCAGCATCGGTGGTGGGGCGCAGGGCTGCCGCCCGCTTCACAGGTGCTGAGGGAGAAAGGGCAAATAGCAATATTAAAATATTTCTTCTAATTATTTTCCTTTCAATGTGCACGAAACCATGCACGGGACCACCAGTACTATCATAAGATTTTAGGATAAAGGGGCTACTTGTTTTTAGACGAAAAGAAAAATAAAACAATTAGTGCTATCATGATTGTGTTAAACATGAACTTTTATACTTGTGGGAAATAAGTACAAACCTTTTCAGAAGCCATTTAACAATATACAGAAGGCTTAAAATATTTGTTTTTTTCACCTAAGAATTCTAATGAGATTTTTTTTTTTTGGAAAGTGGAATTAACACTTTATTTTTTTGGTAATTCTTTATTGTTGAAAGTTTTACATATGTCTCCTTTTTCTCCCATTGACCTCTTTCCACCCACTCCCGCCCCTCAGCACATGCCCCCACCCCCCTATTGTCTGTGTCCATTGGTCATGCTCATATGCATGGATACAAGTCCTTTGGTTGATCTCTTACCTCACCTCCTCACCATCCCCTGCCTTCTCTCTGAGGTTTTTTTTTTTTTTTATAATTTTTATTTCTTAAAGTATTAAAAAGAGTATTACATATGTCTCCTTTTTTCCCCCCCAAAGTTGATTTTCTTATTTTTACCCAGAGTCCTTAGCACATGCCTGTAATACATCATAAGAAAATAAAGAATTCCTTGATAAAATAATTTCAAAACTTACATCTTTTCTTTTGAGCTATTAGATTTTTTTGTCATATACTGAAAAGCATAGTATCCCGTCTTTGAATTATTTTTTCCCATTAATTTGTACGTAATTTTATGCATTCTGTTAATATACATGAAGAACCCCCACTAGGGGGCACTCAAGACTATTGAGTTGCCATAGTTCCTTAGGTTTTTGTTTGTTTTTAACAAAAATATCCTATCTTTTCTGATTAAAAAAAGTAATGCAACCCTGGCTGATGTGGTTCAGTTGGTTGAGTGTTGTCCCATACACTGAGTGGTCGCAGCTGGTTCAATTTCCAGTCAGGGCACATTGTGGGTTTTGGGCTTGATCATGCAGGAGGCGGCCAATCAAAGTGATGACCGTCTCACATCGATGTTTCTGTTTCTCTCCCTCTCCCTTCCTTTCTCAGGTCAATAAAAAAGGACATAATAAAAAAAAATTATAAAAAACATTTAAAAAGTAATGCAAATAACACGAAAAACTATGCAGTATTTAAGTAATATAAGCATTTGCAAACTCACGTGAAACAAGATATCCATATATATGATTAAGTGAAAAAATTCAAGTTGTATAGTAATATAGTTAATGGATTCCACTTTTGAGAAAAGTAAAAATTATATATGAGCATTTATATCTATGAAGAAAAATACTGAAAGGACCAAAACATTAACAGTGGTTATTTCTAGAGCTAAGATTTTTGGGGGGGTAAGGGCATACTTTATTACTTTATAAATTCTTTTTTACTTAGCAGGTATAGAGGCATGTCTGAGCTTTGATAATAAATACATTTTACAATTTTAAGTTATATGCTTGCTGTAAAAAAATTATAAATCATCAAAATGTAAACAATTATATTATCTATTACTCAGAAATGATTATTGTTGAGTTTGCTGTACATATTTTTCCAAACTTATTCTATGCATACATAAACATGTTTTAAAGTAAGATCACATTATGCATGCTATTATGCAAAGCAATATTTTGTTCACTTAATATATTGCAAATATCTTTCCATATATATCCTATGTAATAAAAGCCTAATATGCTAAGTGTCCAGTCATCTAGTATCCGTTCAACCAATCAAAGTTTAATATGCTAATGATATGCTAAGGCTGCTCAACCGCTCGCTATGATGTGCACTGACCACCAGGGGGCAGACAGTCAACTGATCCACCAGTCACTATGATGTGCACAGACCACCAAGGAGAAGACACTCCGAACGGTAGGTTAGCTTGCTGTTGGGGTCTGGCTGATCAGGACTGAGCGAGATGGCCCTGGAGCCCCCATGCGGTCCCTCCTCGGCTGGCCAACCTCCTGCATTCCTCCCTGGCCCCAGTCATGCACCGGTGGGGTCCTTCAGCCTGGCCTGCGCCCTCTCGCAATCTGGGACCCCTCGGGGGATGTTGGAGAGCTGGTTTCAGCCCGATCTCGCAGGCCAGGCTGAGGGACCCCACTGGTGCACAAAGTCATGCATTGGGCTTCTAGTTACTATATAAGTTTACCTTACCTTAGCTACATAGTATTTTGTTGTATGATTGTAGAAGTTTTTTTAACCACTTCCCTATTGATTATCTTTAAAGTTGACTCCAGTTTTTCATAATTTAAAACTCTGCAATCAACAACTTTACATATACTTCTTTGTCCATTCGTCCAGTTATTTCTGAAAGTATTAAGCCAAAGGAATATCTGTTTAAACCATTTTGTTATATATTATCAAACTAGAGGCCTGGTGCACGGATTTGTGCACTGGAGGGGTCCCTCGACCTGGCCTGCGGGGATCGGGCCAAAACTGGCTCTCCGACATCCCCTGAGGGGTCTCAGATTGTGAGAAGGTGGTTCTTGGTGACACACCCTGGAATCGGACTCCCTCCTGTCTGGTTCCAGCGCATCACCCGAGAACCGCAGCTGCCAAGTGAACGCAGCTCGACAGCTCCTGTGTTGAGCATCTGCCCCCTGGTGATCAGTGTGCATCATAGCTACTTGTTGGTCGGCCAGTTAACCAGTTGGCCGGTTGGCTGGTCGCTTAGGCTTTTATATATAGACTAGAGGCCTGTTGCACGAAAAGATTCGTGCAATAGGCTTTCCCTTCCCCTGGCTTCTGGCACCAGTTTTCCTCTGGCACCCGGGACCCAGACCTTTACTCTGGCCATCGCCTTCCATCTTCGCTCTGGACACAGTCTTCACTCTGGCTGGAGCCTTCAGTCTTTGCTCCTCGCTCCGGCGGGAGTCTTCAGTCTCCGGCCAGAGCTGCTCCTATAGCTCCTTTCGCCCCCCACCCTTGTTCATTGTATTTCACAAATGAGTGAGATCATGTGATATTTAACTTCCTCCAACTGGCTTATTTTGCTTAGCATAATGCTTTCCAGGTCCACCCATACTGTTGCAAATGATAAGGAAATACCATAAATATAGAGAAGGCCTATGGACAGTGGAGTTTATCAAAATACCACTTATAATAAAACAATGAGAAACAATCTAAATGTTCAACTATAAGGAAATGGTCAAAGGAACCCTAATCAACCAATTGTGTAACCATTGAGAATAATTACCAGAGGTACAAAATAACAAAAATGCTTTTGACATAGTGTTTAGTGGTGAAAAAGGTGGTGTAGAGTATTGTCTATTCAATATGACTACAAATTGGTTAAATAAACCTATGCTTGAAAAGCAATTAAGTATTTTAAAATGTAGCCCTGACCGGTTTGGCTCAGTGGATAGAGCGTCGGCCTGCGGACTGAAGGGTCCCGGGTTCGATTCCAGTCAAGGGCATGTACCTTGGTTGCGGGCATATCCCCAGTGGGGGGTGTGCAGGAGGCAGCTGATCGATGTTCCTCTCTCATCGATGTTTCTAACTTTCTATCCCTCTCCCTTCCTCGCTGTAAAAAATCAATAAAATATATTTTTAAAAAAATGTAAACAGTGATTTATGTTTGGATGATGAAACTGTGACTTTTGTTTTCTCTTAAAACTTTCAAAATTTTCTTTAATGATCATGTACTACTTATATAATAGGGAGAAAGAATGTAATCCTCCTACATTTCCACTAAAAATGCTACTTTTCTTACAGATTTAAACAGCAGTAGTAGAAGTCAGACTGCAAGCATTGGAATAAGATTTTTGCAGAAGAACATTGTGCATCATGGATTCTCTTCCAGAAGAATTTTTTGTGAGGTAAGGGGTGGATTGACAAAAGCCAACTGCATTTGTTATATTCCAAAGATACAACACTTGTCTCTTCCATATAATCTTGGAAAGCTAGTGTGAATGAGATACCTTTGTTTTTCAGGACAGTTTAACAACTTTGAGTAGTGGAAGATGTACTAGTAAAATGGGTAAAATCTAATTTTAGAAAATTTATTTAAGGACCACACCCTGGCTGAAGAGCCAAGAATTGAAAAATGTACCACAGCTTGTCATATTTGGGCATTTTCAATAATGTAATATTATATATATCATTTAACAAGCACTTACATTGACTTACTTTTTGCCAGACATTGTTTTAAATGCTTTTACAAATTATATATATATAAAGAGGTAATATGCAAATTTGTCCAGGACGCCGTAATGGGTCACGACCAGACAGGAGGAGGTTGCGGGGGCAGGTGAGGCCCGGAGCAGAGACGGAGACAGACGGGGGGCCTGCCTGAGCTGGCGTGGCGGCTTCAGCAGTCTGGCGCGGACACAGGCAGGGGGTCCAGGGAGGCCTGGGGCTGGCTGAGCTGCAGTGCTGGCTCGGGCAGCCCCAGAGTGGACACAGGTAGGGGGGCAGTGGGGGCCTGGGGCGGAAGTCAGGCACAATTCCTGGCCGCCTGCGGTGCTGGTCAGACCTGACTCCTGCGGAGGCCTGCGGGGTGCCTTCTCACATGGTGGAAGGCGGGGTGCCTCCTCACGTGATTACCATCACACGCTGGGCCTCTAGTCTATACTAATAATAGGGTAATATGCAAATTGGTTGGGATACCCTCACTCGTAATGACCAATCAGTAGGCTGCGTGCGCAGCAGGCGCAGGTGGGCAGGGACTTGCCATGTTGAGGACGGGTGCAGGGCACAGTGTTGAGGACAGGTGCAGGGCACAATGGAGGCCTCTCCGTGCACCTGTGCCGGGGTCTGCAGGCCTCTGCTGTGGCCCCACCGTGGCCCAGCCCGGGGGTCTGCAGGCCTCTGCTGTGGCCC